TGTCATTCACTTCAGTTACACCGAACCATCAGCAATGACCAGGACTACCCGGTATACCCGTCTCGTGCCAGTTAGCACCGCCTGGGACGCCCTCGCGATTCCCGTTTGACCAGGGCTGAGTCAGCCGAACGAGTCTGCGGCACAGACACAGCGCGGCCGAAGCAGACATCGCGTCTGCAACGAATGGCGCCTCAGGCCGGCCCTGTGCGGTTGCGAAATGGTAGGTAGGACAGCACAGGTGGGGAAGGGTGGGGAGGGAGGTTTGGTGGGTCTAGGCAGAGGGGTGGGATGGACAGATCCATGGTGGGTCTGAACAGAGGTATGGCAGATCTGAAAGGAGGTAGGTATGACGGGTCTGGGCAGAAGTATGGTGGGCCTGGAGTCCAGACCTCCACTCAAGACAGAAATATGGTGAGTCCGGACGAGGAGCAAAGATGCAAAGTTAGGCTTGGAGCATGTTAGGTTCGAACAGGTATGATGCATAAATATGCACAAGTACACATTTACACGGCTGAAACCTGCATCCCATCTGGAGTATCATAAAATCTGACAAAAAAAGATAGTATATGTATCCTCACCATGCAATCGTCCCTCAACTGTCCTCAACGTCATCCGTCACCTACAGTTGTCCCTCACAGCCAGGGTATTACGCAACGGCAGGCCCCTCCGTCTGCCACAGCCGCCGCTGCAGACGCCAGGTCCAGTCCTGGTCCGGCTCTGCAGATCCCCGCAGGTCCAATGGCTAAGGTGTGGCCTACCAGCCCACTGAGTACTGATACAGCCAACCAGTCGTCCGGGGCTTAGAATTTAAATATACTAGCCGTTGGTCTCTCCAATCTCCGTGCTTCCCTCTATTCTGCCGTCTCCCATCTTCACTAAAGACTACGTGCGCCCGGCCAAGATTCTTGCCCATTGGACCCCATTGGACCACCATGGCAGTGAGAAAAAGCCGTTGTTATCAAATGGCGTCATGGTGGTGACGCAACTGAAATCTCCTGACGTCACCATTCATGCTGAGAATTCGGTTGCACTATGACGTCATTTAGCAAAGTGTTTTATCGCACTGACTAATGGTTATCATAGTGCACTGTGATAAACGCAGAGGTATGGCGGTCAAGTACCTAGCAGTGGAAAATGCGGGCTCCAAGTACCTGCATGGCTTTACGGTTTGTGTGCGAACGGTATAAGAGGCTCATGTGTCCTTTCGACGTGCTGCAACGCGACAGCGAGACTTCATACAGCAATTTCCCAAAACAGGAGTGGCGCGGTGCATCCAAGAAACATACATTTCACAACCGGTGGCCGGGACGATTCATTCAGTGACCTCACCACTGCACGGTACCTCTCAGACATGTTGCATTGGGGAGTGCCCCCTGGCTTCTGGCCAGGGAATGGCCAGGTGGTGTGGGGAGGGAAGCGCCCAAGCGGACAAGGAGACCTAAAGGGAACCGGCTTTTCCCATTGGACAATGCGATTGAAAGAGGATTCATCTGAGACTGAGCATGAGAACTCTCTTATAATTCTGCTAATGCAGGTTATATAGCAAGTCTTCCAGTGTATGCCATGGTAGAGAATACAGAGAGAGAGAGTCTTCTGAGACAGGATCTGTGTAGTATGAGTCTGAGTATGTCGCCCTGAGTCTGAGGAGTCGTAGGTAGAAGTCTTAGTCTGGCCACCTCTCTGAGTACTAGTATGAATCTGAGCATGAGTCTCAGTCGTGTGAGCCTAAATCTGAGTCTTCGGGGTGTGACTGTTTTAGTCTAGAGTACCTGACTCTCATATGGCCTCATGTGCATGGCCTCACAGCTATACAGCTGATGCGGCCTGTAAACCTCCTATTCATCATGCTACCAAATTTAGCTCTCAACAATGCCGGCCCGTGTGTCATGGCTCTTCCAAACCGTTACTCGTCACATTTCTCAGGTCTGCCACGGTCTACGTGAGCAGTTTGGCGGTAACCCAGTTTTGTACACCATCTGTGTGATACCTCACAGCCTAACTACCGACCACGTCTGCCTTATGGGCAGTCGTGAACAGCTGACAGCTGCCATACTTTTTTGTAACTTTGTGATCAGCCCACCAAAATATTATTATGCAGCAAAATGTTACGAACGCAAGCAACATACCTTTGGCCGATTTTTTTTTTTTTACAAGAAAATAGTTGTTATCACGAAAGCAATAAACACCTTATTTTTTCGAAGAATTCACAACATTTTTAGGAAAACTTTTGATTCTATGTCCTTGTTAACCCTCGCCCTGGCAGGGGGGGGGGGGTCGATGCGACCCCCCCTAAGGTTTTTCGAAGATAGCGTAAAAACGGCGGCGCAAAGCGCCGCCAAATTTGGCACAGCCTATGGGGCAACCTTTTTACATATGACCTAAAAATTTCAGGTCCGAGTGACCTTAGGTCAGGTCACCAGGTCAGAAAAACCGGTACAAGGTCATGGTCAAATTTCAAATTTCTTTTTGCACCTGTCCAACTCACAGTTTTGCACTGATTTCCTTCAAACTTTCAGGATGTGCTAAGTTCACCGAGTTGTATAACATATAGTTCGGGTTTTTTGAGGTCACTGACCTGAGGTCAGTTAGAGGTCATAAGGTCGTAATGTTAAGCCTATGGGAAAATACTAAATTCGGAAAATACTGGAGATATCCGCTTTGTTCCATCACTTTTGTGCTTTGAAACCACAGTACTCAACAGCAGGTCACTTGGTGCTTCTTTGTTTGGTGTACTTATCCATGGGTCAGGTCAAATGAGGTCAACTGAGGTCAAATGACGTTTTTGCCAATAACTTGGCACATAATGACGCTAGAGCTTAAAAAATGGTACCATTGTGTTCCTGGTGATCAGCCGAATCGAATGATATGCGATATGATGCAATTTGGTTAACTTTAACTTATTTTATTAATTTAAGTTTACTTAAAATTTAAGAAAAACTTTAAGTACACTTAAGCAAGCTAAAAAAAGTATATCATTCGACGCGCCTTGACGTGCTGAGTTCACTGGTGCTTTTCTTTTTGCTCTATCTTAATTAGATCAAAAGTTATAAGCGAAAAACTTTTGACCTATTTTTAGCGAAAATTTTTACATTTATACCCCCAAACAAACCCCTAAATATTGACCTAGAGCAACCAAATTTGCACAGGGGCGAGAACTCCAGGGGGCCCACCTACCTACCGAATTTGGTGTTTCTAGGTGCCATAGGAGCCAATCGCGAGGGGGGGGTCGCATCGACCCCCCCTGCCAGGCCGTGTTATGAAAAATGCCCTGCCAGGGCGAGGGTTAAATTGAGCACTCTTTCGTAGCCGATAGCGAAAAGTGCAGAAAATGCGCAATACCTACATAAAAAGCCTAAAAATGCTCACGCTGGAAAAACCTTGAAATCGATTCTCTCTAAGGCCCACTACAAGTGTGACAAGTGACGAAACGTACAATACACAACAAAGATTAATAGTTTGCCGTCATCGAGCCCTGAGTACACAGACAATCATCAACGAGGACATTTAAATAATAGATGAACTTGACCGGGTCCACTACATACGGTTTACACACGATAACAGATGTCTGAACGAAAGGTTTTCGAAAGGGTGACGAAATAATGTTGATCTGGAAAGGTCGTGACGGAAATACAAATAAATTATTGCGACGTGCAAGGGGGTGAAGTTCATCCGTATATGAATGACAAAGCAAAAAGTAGGTATACGTGTGTGACACGGTAAGTGACGAATGCCGAAGAGACAGGTCAAAAAAGTATTCCATGTTTTCAGACTTCAGTTTATCATGCCTATTATCTTACTCAGTATGCAAAGCATGAAGGATAAAAAAGATAAATTATTTTGTAAGCGGTGTCAATCAAGGGCGCATGCCCAATTCTAAATAGGGCTTAATGTAAGGGATTAATAATGGGGTGGTTTGCTAGCCCGGGCATGATAGCAGCGTCGGTCAGGTGGGACATGGGTGTCCGGATTTGGAGATATCATATCCGGACCCACATTTTGAACCAAGGGGCAGGTAATGTGCAAAAACGACTCAGGCAAATTTTTCACAAGGCAAAAATTTCACATGAGCTGCGCTACAAATGTTGGAAGATCCATTTCAATAAATAGCTACTGCCTGCTTGGTTACGCGAGCAGTGAGCATGGCCGGGTCGGGGCTAGTTCCATGCCTTTAGAACCAGCCATCCGGCTTCGATTCCCGGGCAAAGCTGGGCACGTGACCTTGTTGCCACTTGAAACAGCGTGAGAGTTCCGGTTCCGGTCAGCACTTGGCTCGAAAGATGCTGCCTTGGTTCCCCAGAGCTTACCAGCCACGAACGGTGGCCCCCGACATATTTTACAAGGTTTCCAATCCAACCAAGTTTTCTCAGCTTCGTCAAGCCCTCTCATCATTCCTTTTCTCTTAGGTATCATTCTCACCATTTCGTTCCTCTCAGTTTTCTCAGGTCTCTCCATTCTCCCCGACAAAGTATGTTATAAGCCATGGGCATTGGGCATATTCGCCTTCCGATTGTGATTGTTCCAGTTCGGTTTAGCGGGAGGGGGGGGGGGGTATAGGCGGCGGAACGAGGAGGGCACCGGGGCACCGTGCCCCCCTTTGATTTTGGCATCTTAACATTAGCCCTATGGACGTTGCATGGAAAGAATTGGACCAAAAGTCGGCAGTGCCCCCCCCATAATTGAAGGTGTTCCGCCGCTACTGGGGGGGGGGGGGGTGATGCTGGGAATAATTGGGATACACGCGGGGGGCATTGTTGCTACGGTCCATGCGGCTGCCATTGACATCATTACAAACCCGAACATTAGGGGCATCTTGACCTTTTCGGGGATGATGTCACCGCTCATCCCCTCAGCTAATCTGGCAGTGGCTTCTGTTGAAAAGCCACCGGCGAAGAGGAAACAAACATCACGACGGGTTGTCCCACGACGGGTTCAGGTTGTACTCCATGTTGCTCAGTGCTCAGCCCTGCCCCGCCTGGACGTGTCCTTTTCGACCCACTTACCCGATTTGAATCCAAAGCCGCCGCCGAATGTTCCTCCTTGTGCTTGAAACAGCTGGCGCATTTCTGCTTGTTGAAGATGTTTGGAGAAAACTTCCTGCACTCCGCCTTCGACATAACGGGGCCTGACTGACCTGTGTAGGCACGCCACTCGCACTCACACTTCCTCCCTCTCTCTTTCTCGGTCTCACGAGACCGTCTCACACGCACGTTCACTCATGGTGACCACCGTATCGCAGCTCACAGGTTCACCTGTCACCTGTCACCTGTCTCACTCCAGCTGTGATTCACCTGTCCCGCCCGACCACAACCCCGCTAGCGCGCCGACTGGCCCGCGCTGCCAGTCCGCGGGTCAGCGCAGCTAGAGACAAAATGTCTCAGCCTTGAGACTTATTGGGAAGTGTCCCAGGATATCTCTAGGTCAATGGCAAAATATCTCTAGGTCAACAGAACGGTTCCAACACTGTAGGTACAACCGTGTATACAAAGCTGCACCGTTGCATATAAGAATATTTAACTCCAGGCGCATTGAGGCAAGAGACCTACTATTTTGTCCCCATCTCTGGCGCTTGAAATTTCTATCATCGAATCGAAGAGATACGGCTGAGAGTTACATCCTAATTTAACTTACAACTGCTAAAATAAATGTTGTATGTCTGGAAAAAGAGAGCTAAGGTCTAAAATCGTTAAACATATTTTTCATGATATTGTATTTTTTTTTCTGAAATGTGCATCCCTTAGCGGAGAATTGGTTGGACTCGCAGTGATAAAAGGGGTGGTCTGCGATTTGTGGGAGCAGCCGCAGTAGCGGCGGAACACCTTCAATTAAGGAGGGGGAGGGGGGCACTGCCGAATTTTGGTCCCATTATTTCATGCACCGCACATAGGGCTAATGTTAAACTGGCAAAATCAAGGGTGCCCCTGTGCCCTCCCCCCCCCCCCCCGGTTCCGCCGCCTATGAGCATTGAGCAGCCGTATAGCTAGTGGAAGTCAGTTGTGGAACGGCTGGCCTCCAGATAGACACACTAAACTTTGGAACTCTCCCGTTACATGGAATAGCACGATCGGACATCACTAGAATTGGACCTCGCGCAACATATTTTTACTAAGGGTCGGCACTGGCACTGTTGATTCATCCATTCAAACATTTGAGCAATTGTTTGCATCAAATGTTCGACAATTGACCTGACATACGAGTGCGGCAGCCGAACAGTGAACACTCGAGACGGGGGCATGAACAGCGAATTACGATTCGGATTGACTATCCAAAATCAAATCCTTTGACCTGAATCCCTGTAGCCTGGAATGATAGGCATATACCATTCCATCGCTTACACTCACTCATAGTCTGAGCTGCTCAAAATGAATACCCGATCATTGACAAATAGCCAATACTTTATCAATATCCCAAGATCCGGGAGAAATCCCTATGTCCTGACGGGCCGCCACCAGTTACGCCTGCCGGGCAATCAGCTGAGTGCGTAGCACCGGTGAATTCCTCCACTAGAAAATAGTTCTCATACTCGCAAGCGTTTCTCATGGGCGTCGAAACCGGGGGGGACGGGGGGGACGCGTCCCCCCCAGTCGAGGAATCCGGGGGGGACGTCCCCCGCAAAAATATCCCCATGAATGATTTAAAAAGTGACCTACGACATTGGTGTATTGTCGTTTTAGGATGAAATTGCGGATACCTACTCGTATACAAATTGAATCTGCGAATTGCTGACACTGTACCCTTGCTTACAGGGCTGCGGAGTAGATGATTTTGGTAACTCCGACTCCGGCTTAAAAAAAAAAAAAACGCTCGGAGTCCCCACTCCATCTCCGACCACGGCATCCCTCGGCCCGCATCGGAGTGAAAAAAAACATGTGATGTGATGCTTTTGTCTCTGAACGTTTCTTGGCACATTAAAAGATAACATTATCTACGAGGTGCAGCTCTGGACTGTCCGTCCCAGGTCCTCGATAGGGAGCCAAAGCTCCAGTTGTAGGGGCGACCATATCCAACAAGGGCTGAAGATCTGTCCCAAAGTCTCAGAGTGCAGTAGGACAACAGCTTGCAGAGACCATGCATTTTACATAGGATATTCGTAATAGTCAAGACCTTCAGCTCACTCTCAAACGGCCCTCTTCCCGTTCGAGGCCATCCGACAGCAGAAGGTCTCACCATGGCCTTTGAACGCTTAATGCTTGAGGGTGAGAGGACCTCGTCCTGGTCTGAGAGAGCCCAGGAGGACTTAATGCTCAGTACGCCCCTACATTGGTCTTACCATGACCCCTACAATCACCACAGCCAACAGAATCTCCAGCTCTTATTCGACCCATCCTCGGGGATGACGTTGACTCTGACTTCAGAGTTGAAGTCTGTTACGATTTTGGTGACTCCAACTCCGTAACTATCCGACCAAAACCGTCGACTACGACCGAAGTCGGCTCCGACCCCGCAGTCCTGCAGCTACACTGCACAGAAGTTGGAAAAAAGCTGTACCTATGGTTGACAGCGGTTTACAGAGGACCACACGATTTTTTAGAGGCAGGGCTGCTTGACTTGGTGACCAGACCCTAACTGTCCTGGTATCAAACTTATTACGCGGGATGCAAAATTTATGCGTTTTGGGACTGTTTTGCCAAGAGTTTTTGCCAATTTTCGCGGCGCTTCGCGCCGCCAATTCATCCACAGGTAGAGAAGAGTGTGACTAATAACGCCTCCACGCGAGATCATGAGAACATGTGTATTGTGTATGCGTTACAAGTAGTGCATACGCCTGAAATTGTACGGTAAACTAACTAACTTTTGGGTTTTTAGTCAGCCAATCCGTCCCCCCCAGTCAAAAATCCGTGGCGACGCCCCTGGCGTTTCTCCCATTTGAGAACTTCCATTTACATAAAATACATTATATTAAAAAATGATGCCATAGTTAGTTGACAACAAGCATAGAAATTACCACTAATAAGCATACGTCTTTAGTAGTAATGTTCATCCGCTCGTACCTGCACTTCGCGGCCGGCTCGGGGGCAGAGCGCGCAGCACACGGCGGCGGAACGGGACGGGGCCCGCGAGCGGCCTCTCACCCCGGAGCGCACCTGTCAGAGCCATCTGTGAGCGGATGGAGGAACTCGTGCTTACCTTCTGTCGAGGTGAGTCTAGGGTGAGCTCGTGAGCTTGGGAACGGTGGGCTTGAAGGAACAGGGAAGAAACTCGTGAGTTTGGGAGCGGTGATTGGTGTTCATTTCTGTGCACTGTCATGGCGTCAGGTGTTGTGTTGAGAGCGGGGTCTCCGCAAAATGGGTGAAATGAAAATAACGCCTGAGCCCCCGGGCCGAGCATGAGAGATACCAGCCTAAAACGTCTCGACCATTATGCTGCATCAATTGTAAGGTCACTTGACAAAATATCAATATCAGCGTCATGCGTCGATAGGTATAAAAGATATTGACGTTTGGTAGCATTCGTTCTATGCTGATTTTAGTAGACAACGAAATTATTGACCTGACCCGCGACCCGTGACCGGTACGTTCTCAGGCATTGTCAATAATTAATTAGACATTTCGCATAAATATGAAACATTAAAAAATAGCAGACAGCCAAGTCCACGTAACGTATAGGGAGGCATGTTTCGAATTTCATATTACAAGGGCGGGCCCGGGGTGACGGGGTCACCTGATGTTAGTCGTGTTACGTTGCCTCTCCAAATTATAACTCAAGATGAGAGATTTCAAAAATGTGAAAATTCAACCCTAATCATCTTATATCATTCATCGTAAGAAACAAAAAAAAATGGGAGTGGACCTTCGTTCAAGCTATCAAGCAATAAGCGTGCTGTTATCCATTCTCTGGATACGTTGCTCTACGATACGTTGTTTTTTTAATTAACCCGCGCCCCGCTGGGCTATTCAGCCATATACGCCCTGCTGGCTGGGGGGGGGGGGGGGGGGCAGATTCTGTAGTCTGTACCCACCTGTCTAACTTCCGAACGAGTGGCCGCAGAAAGACGGGGGTTGGGAAAACGGCAAGCCACTTTGTGCGTCTCTATGAGCAAAAAAAAAATGCTTGCCTAAGTAGGTACACAGGTCAGGTCAAGGTCCGGTCAAAGGAAAAAAATGCAATTTTCTACATAACCGGCTTTGGAGCCCAGGTGGTCAACAATGGACTGAGACTGATCACACTAAACGCGTTCTCAGGCTACCAAGACAAGATGCATTGCGTACAATGTCATGAAAGGTCAAAGTCAAGTTCAGGTCAGGTTGAGGTTACCATAGACGAACTATAGGATATGTGCGGCATATGTTTATGGGCAATTTTACTCATAGAACTCATTATTCAATGGGCGTACTCAATTAGCGGTATGTATGTACGGCTCTCGCGAGATTAAGTGGTAGGTTCTGCCGTTTTAAATTTCCGGTTATATCTCAGAAACTAATCGATCTACGATGAAGCCATTTTATACAATAATGGCAGGGTCGTGAATGAACAAATCGATCGCATCTTCAACACTTAAAGGCTTACGACGACGGAGATATAGCCTGAAGCATACTAAATTTTCTAGGTGCAAAACCTACCGCTAAAACCCGCGAGACCTGTAGGTACTGTACATACCTGCCACCATAAGTGGATGAAGGTTAGGTCGATATCAGGCCACGGTCTTGTCGAGTGAGGTCAAATGTTAAAGTTAGTATTTTAGACCAAAAGGTGCCTGAGGCAATTTTTCTCGGCGAATTGAATTGTGCTATTTATATTCCTCTATGATGTTTTAATAATTCACAAAAATATAATATCATCTTTGAATTATTGTTTGCGTTGTCACATCACCAACCTTCGAAAAACTTCTACAAATTGGTTCAAATCCAATCCGTAAAAACATTCTTGCCTGAAAAGGAGAAGAGGATTTGCATATAGTCTTACCTTTGAAGTAACTCATCACCTATTTCTCTGCAACCGCTTGACTCGACTGCGCCGCTTGTTCATCCCTTCATCATCTCCTGCATAAGGCGGCTCCCGTAATTCTACCACGTAGCACTTATATTAGTTGATGCCAACTCGCTCATGAAACGATAGCATCAATCCCTGCCATTTTTGTCAATCAATCAATACAAGCAGTTCGACGCACACGAATGCATCGTGCGACCGTACCCTGCGTGGTACTGTCAACCGTGCGCACATAACACAAGGATGACTCATCCGGTGCGCTCAATTTAGTGGCGGGATGAGAGGAAATTACTCAGATCGACCTCAGTATAGCTTTGAGTGACGTCATTAAGCCTATTACAAACCACGCCATCGTTGTTGTGTCATGCATTATGTGGGTATGTGAATGCCGTGTCAGTAACTACGTCACGTAACTGCGTCATCCATTACGTCACTACATGTATGAGCAAAGTAAAAGCGCATTAGTCATCCCAAACGGATTTTCTCCTGATGCTCTGCTCAAAATCCGTTTGTGAGGCTCATTTTCCTGCTAATGCATATCGTTCACATAGATGTAGGAATGTTGTGCAATATGTGCATTATAAATGGGGTAATCGTAAGTAATTTTGCTTGCACATATTCGTCAGGCATTGCAATCAAGTCTTTACATACCTACTTTTACATTTGTATTCGGTTGTGTCTTTTTGTGAATGTCGTCTATTTTATCTAGTGACGTTGCTTAAGTCAATGGGAACGATCGGAAGCCAAATACGTTTATTATTTGTTTTTGATTTGGTTTTTCTTACATGTACTCATGGGAATTTTCTCTTATTTCCCCTTGTTTGTATTTGATACTTGAGTTAAGGATTTAGCAACTCTGATTGATGTTTGACGTTAATCCTCAAAGGTAAAAAAATTAATTGCGCGCATTTATGCCCATTTTAGATCGGTGTTGAAAAGAATAACTTTATCATCTACGAACACTCCACGAACCAGCTACGCACTCGCTAACACTGCGTTCCGTTTGTCCATAACACCGTGTTTTTGCCGTTTGTTTATTATTTCTTACGAACCAGAGAACATTTTTATAAAAAACATATGTTGAGACAGTGAGACATTACACTGTCAATCACAGAACTCATGTAAACTAGCGCAACATGCAGAAAACAGGTAATGAGTCACTTATTGATTGTTCAAATTGCGTCGCCAAAAAGTGTTGCAAGCATAATGCACCATCATTATCTTTACGACAGACAAATTCATTCGCATTATTTATCATTGAACTGCTACGTAATCCTACAAGTCTACGAACATCGTGGTAAATCAAGGCACATTACGAATCCGTCACATCTCGAATCCGTCACAGCGAATACATTTTAAGCACAGAGCAATCAGAGATTCTTCATACCCCTCCTACTTAACTAACCGACATCACTGTCTTGAGCAAAAACAAGCAAAGGAAAACGAGCTTTGGTTCATTCATAAATATTAAAACAAGATAGGCCATATACACAAATGAAGGGTTTCAGCAAAGGGCGGACATGGCACTGTTTCACGATACCATTCATCTCCGTCTAAGGCGGATGACACACTACACGTACTATTACAAAGACATCATCGTGAACAATGAACATGCATGGCTTTCCCGGTGCGGGTATCATATGGCGTCAGCAGTTTGATTTGGGCTCATCGAGACACATTCCACACATGGAGAAAAATAAAATAGAGGGGCACAAGCTGAGGAAAAAATGAAGTTACGAACGTCAAAACATGTGGATGACTTTTCAGTGCAAAATGCATTTCTCATTTCATCCGAAACATTGAATCTATTGTATTGAATTGCAATGAACATATCCTACAAAATATGATGGCATGCAACATGGTGCCCGTTTTCGATGGGTCATATGGCACACAAGACGCTGCTAATAACCATCTTATGGCTATCAGTCCACATGGCACCCGTTTGGTTCCACCATAATCTCATGTCTATCACTACAATCGACAAGATGACATGACCACATCTTCCGTCATTACCTCCCTCGCATGGTTCCCTCAGCTTGGAAGCTGTTCACGATTCGCAGAGCTATTCTGCATTCGAGCGGGTGACATTTGGTCACGTACCGACAATAGAGGATGTCGTTCTTGCTTTGTCGCTCCATTGGCCTCATGGTATCTCCATGATGCGGCCAACCTCACGCGGCGCGGCATAAAGTGACGTTACTCGACGTGACGTTACCCGACGTGGTGTCACTCTGTACCACTCTTGTCTTCTGCGGCGTCGGAGAATCCGGTGTCGGTGCCACCCGCACCCGACACACTGGTTCCCTCGCTATCACTACAATATCCCGCGTTGCTATAAGTGTCCTTGGTTGCCGATGCGCACCTCGAGCGGCGTCGTACCAGCCTTGCGCGAGGAATATGCGGCGCGGAGCCCACACTGCTCGTGTCATCTCCGGAGAGATCTAGTGCGAAGGACAGCTTCTGCGCTTCAGTGACTCCGCATGCGAAAGGTGTCGGCTGGCCAGATTTGGTCAGCGTGGAAGTTGAAGACCCTGGAGGCGATCCTTGAGAGTCAGACGTTACTGAAGCGATCGCTGGCGCGATAGCCATTATCTCTGGAGCGACGTCGGGCTTGTTAGGAACCAGAGGTCCAGGGGTGAGGTACGCAGGCGGTTGTGGGGTGGTTGAAGAGTCCTCAGCTTGTTCTTCGTCCCGTGATGGTCTCCTTCCACACAGAGCTGAGCCAGGTCCGAAGATGGACAGCATCACAGGCAGCAGGATCAGACCGTGCATGACGCCGAAGAAGATCACCAGGAAGATGGTCTTGAAGAACACCTCGAAGATGTACGAAGGAGCCAGAATAAGCGTGCTAACACCGATGATCGTAGACACGGCACCTTGAAGAATCGGAAGACCCAGACAGTAGAGGCTTTCTTCGACGCGACGGTCAGCCGAAAGACCGTGTGCTGACATGTAGGCGTAGCTGATGTGAGCCGAGAAATCCACCGAGAAACCGATGCACATGATGAGGTTGATCATGGAGATACTGTCCAGGTTGACTCCCCAGAGAGACATGTAGCCGATGACTCCGATCTCGATACTCATGATGCTGAGGGCCACCCAGAGGGAGCAGATGGGGTTGGGGATGAAGATGAGGGAGATGATGCACATGATGATGGTGGCAACGACAGTCGACTGGATGGTGATGGTCCGGACGTACGTGTACTGTAAACAGAAGAAAAGGAAAGCGATCAGAAGTCGGAAATGTGTCAGTCAGAGTCAACATGGTGCTACGTAGCCATTTGCATTGTGAAAGTTTGACACAACAAGCGATTGATACCTGCATCCTCTGACATTAATGTCAACAGGACAACACGGGAACTAATTGAAAAACTTGCATGTTATTGTTTGGGAAAGTCACTACAAACGACTGTACGCTTTTTACCAATTCAATCAGCTGATCCACTTAGCAAGCATCGAGCACATGAGTATGCAAGCAGCAAGCACTTAGCAGGACATGAGTGTCCTGCCCATCCCGGCCCTTCGGCCCAGCTCACCTGATCGAAGAAGATGAAGTGTGGCTCGAAGACCTCGCACTTGAGTGGCGATGCGTCGCAGATTCTGCGCAGTTCCTCCATCATCTCACTGTCTTGGGTCACTCCGCGAACATCGTGTGTCTGGATGAGGAAGCGCGAGGCAACGATCTCCTGACCGCTCTCGTCGAAGACCACATCCAGCTTGAAACGTCTGTCACTGTTGAAGAGGAACACCTGCAAGAAGAAGGAAGACCATTAGAGATTGACGTCAAAATGAAAATAAAACATGCAATCAAATGAGGATTTGCGTGTACTTATTTCAAGGGTTTCAAGGGTAAGCCAGTTAGAAGTGTATCACAGCGTCACTAGAAGACTTAGTGAGTATGATGTCTATCGTTGAGCATTCATATAGATGTCGCTTTATCTACAGTTGCACTGGCTGGGATTTCAAGAGTTGGAAGCCATCCATTTCGGGGCAACCTGCATTGGAAGCGCATCGCTTACACTCTTGAGGCTGCTGATCCACTCTTCCGGAGTGGACACGTTGAAGTTGAGGATGCCGCGACTGTTTTCCACCAGGTTGACCCACTCCCGCAGCCAGCAGTCGTTGTACAGCCTGTCACTGACGTAGGTGGAGTTCTCAAACGTCTCCATCAGCGTCTCCACCTGTTCCTGGATCTCCGGTTCCCAGTAGGGGAGAGTACCGTTCAGAATGACCTGGAATATAACGAATGCAGCGTTCAGTCATCGGTATGAGCCTTGTGCCTTGGAAGGCATTAGCACGGGAAATAACTAATAGGACATGAACAGCAATACACGGGACTGCAAAGCATTCATATGGTATAGTATTCAGAGTAGCTCCACAAACAGCACACAAGCAATTAAGTGCATGCACGCAATCGGTAAGCATGATTCCAAATTCTAAACCAATTATTTATATTCGCCGTGCTAATAATATTGCATCTTCAATGCAGGTGTATACGAGGCTTTGCCTTTTACGTTAACTGCTATTCAGGCAATTAAATCGTTATAATAATCGCAATCGTCATAAATACATCCAGTCGGATGCCTTGAGTCTGATAGCAATTGAGGTCGAAGTGCAGTTGCATTTATGTGGCAGCTTCCTTTTTCTTCTCACCTGCACCCTGTACGGCAGGTCCTGGAAGTATTTCGCCTGGTCTACGAAGAACTTATGCGAGTACGAGTCCTGGCGTGCCAGCCTCCTCTTATCGAGTCCTTCCTGAACCTGAAGACACCCGTAGACGGCTCCACCCAGGTAGGTGGCAAACAGAACCATCACCAGCGCTGTGGAAGTGAATGACGAGTGGGTGAACATACTGATCGTCAAGGCCGCAAATTTAGTGTGGCCTTTAGGGGCATGGAGATTAGAAAATCGGCGGACGTGGCAAGGAAAGATGGATGTGGGGCGAGTGTGCAGACAAATCTAGCTAAGCAGCACCAGGATCGTGCTACCATCTCATAGAATGTTACGATATCCAGTTCTTAGGAGTCGGTACAAAATATAATTCCTTTTTCTCTAGACCTTAATCCTCGCTGGACCTATTGCTTTTCCACATAAGGCCGAAGGGGCGAATGGGAATCCTGCCCGCCATTTTAAGACTGTGACTGAAGCTCCTGCTTACCTTTGACTTTGGGCATGTTGAGGATCCTGGCAAAGGTGTACTTGAAGAAGTGCATGACTCCGTGCTCGTTGTTGTCCGACTCCCTCCACGGCTCGGAGCTGGGGCGGCCACCGGTGCAGAACAGGCGATACAGACGCGAACGGTGGGCTGCAGAGGTTAAACGAGGTCAGTAGAGGTCACACGGGGTAAGAAGAGGTCACACGAGGTCATCAGAGGTCATAAAAGTCAGTAGAGGTCAATTTGGAGGCCCATGACGGCTGTCGTGAAAAGTTCGATCACATAGGATGACATAGTATCAGTGGCCTGGCACCATGGCATTTTCGTCCACTGCACATGCCACATACGCATATAGGATGCACTATTTTTATGGGAACCAAACTAGAATTGGGTTTCCGCTTTGAAAGGTTAGGGTGTAGAGAAAGCTACATGGCAGAATAGCCATTAGCAGAATAAAATCACCTTTATGAGATGTCAGCTGCCATTCTACACAATATTCTAAGGAAAAGGAACCGTTCTGTAGTGTCCCCATCGCGGAAAGGACAGCCACTCATGACAATGAACTGAACACATTGATGGGTTCCAAACAATGGGAGACTGGTCAGTTTGCTGGTTGAACGGTATAAAAGTCAGATCCGTTTCCAGTTTCCTCGTGAAGGAGCAGAGGGTGGAGACTTACAGAGTTGGTGGTGTAACGAGTCATGTAATCGGCTCAGCTGTGAATCCATTCGTGTCTCACGCGTGGTTAAATCCTGGACGCACTGCAGCGCGGCTATCATTCCGTTTAGCCTCGATGGCGGATTTACATTCTTCTGACCGGTAGATATGACCTCCAAGGATACACCATTGGTTACCCGCCGGGGACAGGCTGCAGACTACTCGTATGTGGGCTTGTGATTAAATTGCTTAAAGGGACCCTCCCACCTTCAAAAAAGTTAATGAATTGGCATGAAAGTGATGTCGCTCGGTTCAGAAAGAGCAAAAACGAATATCTACCAAATTTCATCGAAAAATATTCACCGGTTTTCAAGATATTAGACTTTTACTTTTGTTTACTTTTTGGGATCTCCGCTGTTCCTAGAGACTTTATTTGAAAGTGCGGCATTTGTTGCGCGCAAAGCAGCATATACCACCGCGTGCCACAAAACGTTTTAGTCAAACATTTAAAAACCGTTAGATATCTGCGCTGACGTCACACATTCAGAGGGGTATTCTTATGCATTATTAAACGAATATCTACCAAATTTCATCGAAAAATATTCACCGGTTTTCAAGATATTAGACTTTTACTTTTGTTTACTTTTTGGGATCTCCGCTGTTCCTAGAGACTTTATTTGAAAGTGCGGCATTTGTTGCGCGCAAAGCAGCATATACCACCGCGTGCCACAAAACGTTTTAGTCAAACATTTAAAAACCGTTAGATATCTGCGCTGACGTCACACATTCAGAGGGGTATTCTTATGCATTAGCCCCTCTGAATCAAAATGCTGCAATTTTGAAATTCAATATTTCCGATTTAAGGCATTTCTCGATGTTGTGAGTGCCGAAACCGGTAATTGTGAGCCAGGGACCCCATTTTGGCTATCTCAACTCAAATCTAATGTTAAGGTGGGAGGGTCCCTTTAAGGACTTTGTTTTTTAAAGAAAATGTTTGATATATAAATTGGGCATGATTTGGGTTTGGGATCTGGGTTTGATTTAGAGAGGCTATTTATTAGGCTACCTATATTATCTATGATTTTACCTGGAATAAATTTACCTACCACCGTCTCTAGGCATAAAAGCCATATCATTAGTGGGCGATCGAATCATATTTATTAAATACATCATATAATACAAGAAATATGCTAATCAGGCTGGCCGGCCGTCGCGTAGAGCCACCTGGCTGTCCAGCGACGAAGCGGTTCTTCAATCTGGGTGCGCCTGGCTGACGTCTAGCACTGCACTGCAGTCTGCAACCCTCCCTCTCCCCCCTCCCAAGCCTCCTTGGTCGCCGCGACCATGAAAGGATTACTGGCACAGGACCGGGTCAGACGTGCTCCGGTACAGGCCCTGGTGCCGACTGAGGATTATGACGGCGTAACTGAGCTGCCAGTCTGAGTGCCCCCCCCCCCTCCCCCGCTACCCCCGCGGGAGGCAGTAACCTGACTTGGATACTGGACAAGTCTTCTGGGGTCATTGACAGAAGGACTGCCATCCGGACTGTCCAGATTGCCCGGGTGACCGGTTTGAGAAAAGTGTCTGGATGGGTTGTTCTCTGACGGGACTCCGACATGACATATGCGGTCATGTCTGTGACACTCCTTAGTTTAGGGAAATCGTGGTGCACAGGATTTGGATCTCGGGCGGGAACGTCCGTCACCCTAGGTTTATGCATGCAGCATGGGCCTTGCCGCCCACTTCCTCGGCCACATGCGTAGAAAATATGTCCTTGGTTTTGACAATTTTCATGACATTGGCTTTACTTCATTAGTTTTCGCTGTTAATGCCTTCACAATTAAAACATGACATTGAAATAGCAAATCTAATGTAATTTAGTGAGTAACTCATAAAGTAAAATTAAGCTGACAAAAACCTCAAAAGATCGTCTTGAACTTTTGAATCATTACCTACAAATTTGCATTTTACAAGGCCTTACGATGCGATAAAAAACCTTGCTTCTCATTTCAGCCTGCAGATGGCTATGACGACGAAGCGGTACGAGGGCTGATCAGTTAATCCTCACCTGCTTCCGAAGGCGCCGGGATCGGCTGGAAGGTAACCGAGTGGAGGTTCTTCTGCTCGGCGTACCCCGACAGTGCCAGACAGGCGCCGAAGAAGAATATGTGCCAGAGGTAAGTGAACACCACGGACATTCCTGGAAGAAACAGAGATGTGTTAGCTGAACGTTCGTAATGCGGATATCGCAGAGAGAAAGGGAAGACGTCGGGCACCAAGAAAAGGGCACATTGATAATAGCTGTTAGACAAGGATTATGATGCAGAGACGGGATATAAAAATCAAATTAGACACAGACACGGATTAAGACTTCAGAACGACTAGAGACAAACAGGGACGCCGAAAACGGACACCAAATATAGACATGGACACCTGGGAATCAGAGAACGCACTGCAGCGAGTCTATAAGCGACATTGACCGCTGCAAAACGCACACCGTTTGATCAAATCTCACCGATCTAATCAGATATCGGTTGCAGTATAGCATATAGCTGCTATCATTTCGGTATGGCCTGTGATTATCAGGCCTCTTTCATTGTCAAAATTGCTTTTGCAGCCATTGTCACGGTCACTGCCACTTTCAATGTCACTGTTAAGGCCACTTTCAGCTACTGTGATTAAACTTTCCATACAATCACGTTCTCCGTCGATGGTTTATGCCTCTGCGACAACCTGGGATTTATGGAAGCCGAACGGAAAACAACTTGATTCCGTGCCAATTTTTATTGCTTTTATATGCCACATGACCACTAAGTGCAAAAACGAGTTTTAGCTTCCAGCGAATTCTGCTTAGTCGTTGATCATTCAGGCAACATTTCTGAGATGCTGCAGCAAAATTCTGGCTTACGTAACAGATGCTGCAAACTGGTATTCACTAATTGCGACTCGGTGAGTTGATACTATTTATTTCCAATTATAATGCTTGGTAACATGCTGTAGTTACTACCGGCTAGTACCTATTCATTAGTAACAAGGCCTGTAAAGTACAGCTCTGCCGACATGCCTTAAAGACCTTTGCCTTTTGATGGCGAATCCTTTTCTGGATGCCATTTACGTGACATATTTTCTAGCACTGGCGAATCCAGAAAGGCGGTCTTGGATGTCGCGGTGGGCATACCTACACCAAACAAGTTGCTCCAATTTCCTAAAACTTGTCGGATTTCGTGGGGCATTTGCTCCAACACTTCGATTCGCCAGTATTTTCTTGACGTATAAAACCGTGGCGCATTTATATGATGACAATGTGAAAAAGAAAAAGAGTTTATAGTCTTATCAAGTTATCCTCGCCTACAAAGAAAAGAGCAAAAGTTTCTATTACCTTATACGTGATGTCCTAAACTGAGGACCCTCACTTACATATTCACTCACTTGTGTAAAGGCATTAAGTCCTGGCAAATGACCTAGAAGGCAAGCATCCGCACCTATTCACTCACCTGTATAGAGGCAGAAGATCTGCACGCTGGGAATCGGCGTAGCCACTCCCACCCAGAAGGAAAACATATCGGTCAGAGATGTGATGGTGATGGACACAGCAGCTTCTTCGTATGCCTCAGCCATGCGACGAGGCACGGAGTCGGTGAGACGAGTGCGCCACCAGGCCGAGAGAACGACGAACGTGTCGTCCACGCCGATACCTGGGAAAAGCGGGGAATCGGTCAGTGGATGTTGATGAGAATAGGAGATGCATGTGGGCGGGGGACATACGTCAAGGAACGGTAATTCTTGGATACCGGGGCAGCCCTTAGAGACAGCAGCAAGGTATTCCGTAACCAGACTAAAACAGCACGCATAATTATCTACGTGCTCCATATTTCAACATTCGTTGTCTATTCTTGCGCTGAAACCAGCCGGCAAGTCAGCTCAACGTCATTTTATTCTCATTCAGATCGTTCAACCATTCAACTCGCTACCAGGCACTGTGTCGAATGTTCTATTGCGGTCACCGGTACCACGTGCTCAATGAAACCAACCGGGTGTACCGCGGGACCTCCCCAGTTTCGGTCAGCATGACCAGCATTCTATGCAGTCTGCATCTTATTCTTTGAATGAGATGCAGATGACATTCCATGCCCATGTCACAGCGTCTGGGGGCGGGGGGGGGGGGGGCTGGCGACGATTCAGCGGTCGTTGGTCGCTCCGGAAGGGGTCTGTCTGCGCGGTTCCCATACATTACGGCCGCTGATGGCAGGTGCGGTCCCAGACCAGTGGCGGATCCAGGGGTGCGCAAATAGGGCGCCCCTACCAAACGGCAAAATTTTAACATTACGCCTATAGACAGTGTATGCTGCATGGTAAGAACCACTACCTTGCTATGGTTCGCCCCTCCCAAAACTCTGAGCTGAATCCGCCAGTGCCCCAGACCGGTATAGGTACTGTCAGGACCAGTGGCGGCGCAGGGGGCAGGGTTAGGTGGTCCAGGCTCTGCTAGTCAGTCGCAAGAAAGGCTACCTCACCAGCTTGACACCTGAATGCAAATGTAGCCAAAAATGTATCGTATAATTTTGTGAGACATCACGCAGGGAAAGTTTCTTGCAAGTAATTCACACAAGATGGGTGTAAGTATACCTATTGTTTCAAGAGCTTTTCGTGACATAAACTGAAGTTTCTGGATATCTGAAGACATGGTCTCGCACCGGAGCTGTTACGTGACGGCTCCGGAAGATGAAAAAAACTGTCCCCATTTCTGATTCAAGACATCCCTGGCTTTTCCTCATATGAGCGCTTTCCCGACATTGTGCTGTAGTGTCAAGCAGGCTTTGGACGTTCCGAAGTCCAACGTTATTCACTGTTTCGTCCGCTGAGGGAATCCATTCTGCTAGATGCGTGCTGTCTGTTAAAGCGTATGGTAACACGCCTAGCAATCCTTCTTTTTCAATCATCTTACGTAACAAAACCAAGGCTAACTGTGGTCCAACCCTTTCCTCAACACCTGAACAGCAACCACGCCCGTTCCGTTGCGCTGTAAGCACCTGAACCTCCCTTTTCCGCCGCCTGGCACCGCCGCTGCCCATACAGGCATATCTCTGGTAAATCTCCCAGTCAATGCATATTGCATATAACTCAGCGGGAGCGCCTCAGTGCGTCTGCACAGAGGCGGCTCGGGGGGGGGGGGGGTCGTCTGGGCGGGGGGGGGGGGGGCAGGAGGGTGTTGCCAGCGCGGCCTTGGCGGTGGCCTGAGCCTCACCTGAGCTAAGCGGCTGAGGCACCGAGGTAGCTGGTAAGTCTCCTGATACACCCTAGGTAAGGCCAGGCGCCAGCCATGCCAAGAGACTGGCATTCATACTCCAACCTTAGATTGGGCTTATGAAGCGGATTAAAATTGGTGCTTAAACTGAGCCCACATGCATTTTTACTTACTTATTATCTAATAGCTAGAAGATTTGTTTCCTTTTATGAAGCGCTGTATGCATGATATCCGGGGTAACTTATGCAGTATTTAGGACTAAAACTGCGGAGGGCTTTGGATATCACAGATTCAATGCCGATTCGTCGGTTAAATATGTGTGTTTTAGCTGCTTTACAAGACCGGAGCGGTTCAGACGCAGGGAGTTGGCGTTCGATGCCCATGTTGGGTCACTCGGTCAGCTAATGTGCTGTGGTGCGCTGTTCTGACTGAAGTGTGCCTAACTGCGCATTGGGACGTCCTTTATGTGTCCTGGGATGCCCTTTTAGAAAGGCAAACGTACAAAACCAGCAACCAGTACCTATTGTTCGGTTACTGGCCTAACCAAGCTCTCGACGCTCCACGGACAAACCAAAATCCAATCTCTCCATCCCCCAGTACACCTACTTATCAACCAAAGTCAGCATCCCCTTCCCACCACTCCCCATCCACCCAGGAGCCAAACTAAGTTCATTCCACTCTCTCATCTCCTCAAAGTAAAAACCCCGTCCATTATCAGATCAAATGTAGCTTTGCGTATCTACTCCTCAAAATCTACCTCATCTACTAATTAAACTAAAAAAGTCCACCCCTGATCCCACCTCTTCTACTCACCGAGCATGAGGAAGGGCGCCGCAATGTTGATGCCGATGAAGGGCACACCGCAGTACATGAGGATGCCGAAGGCGGTGCCGGTGGCCATGGCGGCCCCAAGAAGTCCGGCCAACACCACCACCGGCTTACCGCGCACCCAGTCCTTCATCAGGCACGCCAGTACGCAGAAGGTGCCCATGAGGACGTAGTTGACGCTCATGTAGGGGATCACCGAGTAGACGTTGTTGTCAAGTTCTTCGCCAAGTGTTTGAGAGAGGTAGAAGGAGATGTGGACGTGCTTCAGGGTTGGTTGGACTTCCAGAAGACGCTGAAGGACTTCGTTCTCCCATTGGCGAGAGCTGTTAAAGAGAAAAGAGACTTATTAGCGAAGGACTAAAACGTTGTTGTGAAGGAAAACGGAAACAAATGAAGATGCCTCCCGCTACACAGCACCCAATTATATAAGGACCGGCTTGATGCATTAAAAATGTTTTATGTTCCTGACCATAACGGAAAATGTTTACATTCTAGCATGCGATTCAAGGGAAATATTGTCAAGCGAACTTTATTTGACATGCGAACCTGAAGTGACAGCTTTGAAGATATTATCATATGGTCAAAAACGTGAGGGTGCAATAACAGTCCGAGTTATGGAAAAAAATGAAGAAATATTAACATACATCTTAGCTGTTATATAGATAATCGCAAATGTCTCTCAATTCAGGCTTCAGCCCAACATTAGATGACTTATAAAAGGAAAACCTTTTTTGATAATCACAAACTTAGATAGGCTTAGATATAAGAGAGCAATGGTATTATTGTTGTTTAGTTCACCGCCACTGGTCATTTCCATCCAATGTAAACAATATAATGTCCCATGACAATATATGGGCTGCAAGCCCCGTGATATGCTCATTGCTAGACCTATTTCGGCTGAAATGGGAATTATCTATGAGCCTATTTTTGAAAGCATATTGATACCACAGGACAAAGGCTGCGAGCAGCCAGAACTTTAGACTGACTGCACCATCCTGTTCGTCCCGTTCCCAGTAACAACTGGATCACCCAACTCCCCCGCCAGTGTCCTCTGACCCTGACACTGGTTACATCGCTCCCTTGTTGCGTGACATCCACCCCGCAAACCCGGACTGACTCGCCAAGGTCTGCTCCATTTTTCCGCGGCTCAAAACCGGACCGAGGCGGACGGTGGATGGTCCGCTCGAGCTCGGCCGGGTGCTGTCGGTGAGGAGTCGGGATCGTCCGGCTTAGGAACGGCCTGGTACGGCCGACTTACGGCAAGCTAGGGGTGCTGGGATCGTTGACGCATTGGGCGTGGCCATCGTAAGGAGCAAAAGACATGGTGGCTGTGAAGTCCCGCCCTTCACCTAATCACTGACCTAATTTGACCTGCGCTAACTGACTTTTTTATCTACATGTATGTATAAGACTTTATGGACCTCCCCTACATTGAGTCTTCTTCCGAAACTCACTTTTTCCTTACAATAGCTGCGGGAATGTACCGACGTACCGTGGCCGGAGGGACTGTACTTCACTTTACAATAATTTAGGTGATATGACACTCAGCCAGAACTTGAAATGTTCTAGTTCTAGTAGGTACGTTGTCGAGGTCACAGAGCCCTCGGGCTGTATCAACGCAAGATACCATATTGTACCCACACGTCAACTCTGTTTTAGAAGCGACAGGATATGTGAAGTGGTGTTATTGCATTGCATTGTACTCACACGTCGACGCCGTAGTAGACATGTCCTCTGGCCGTGTAGTAGGAGAGAGAGATGGCCGGGGCTCTAATCACCGTGCTGCTGTTGTCCAACACCGGCGATCCAAGAGCCTGGGGTAGGATGATGGCCGGCTCGTCACTCCATATATCCACCAGGTGAATCGGGTAGGAGAGCTTCACGGCACCACTTTCCAGATCGGCGGCCATGTTGGCCAGGCGAAGAGCTTCGTTCTTCTCGCAGTGCCCGTCCCAAGAAGCACAGACGTCCTCGTAACGCCAGTCACCTCCGACATCTGTGCGAATGACGGTGTTGCGGACTAGTTGATCAAGTTGAACCACTTCAGCTAGAGCGTCGGTGGTTAGCAGGGTGCCTCCATCCGGAGCGGATATCTGTATACGCACTAAGTTGTTAAGGTCATGTCTTCGGGTGTGGTCAAACGCAGTGTCGTTGAGAGGGAAAAGCTCCCCGACGAGGTTAAGCGCCTGCTGCGCGCGACCAGATTTCAGGGCGAAGAGTTTCTCGGGTCGACTCTCGGTGTGAAGACGCTGGAAGCCGGTGAGGGCGAGCAAGCTGAAGAAGACGGGGAAGATGAGGAAGTAGCCGGGACGTTTGCCGATTTGTGAGCCCAGCCATCTGAACCAGCGCTTTAGGATGGGGTCCACGAAGTTGAACCGCTCCGAGCATGTTACGGAGCGCCCTGCGGAAGGAAAGAAAGAGACGTCAGAATAAAGTGACAGGGTTCAAAGACATCTACCTTTTTCTTCGAACCAAAAAGTACGAACGGTAGAAACAATTTACGTAGAATTTATGAGTTATGCAGCAAATGAATATGCACATCTGCGTTCTTATGGCTGATGAAGTGGACAGTAATAAGGTAGCGCAAGACGGCTCAAAATTTAACAAGTCATTGCGGGACAGTGGATAATGATATCATAAAATTATATTTGTACATAATTTGAATGCATTGAAACAATTACGACAAAGAGCAGTCCTGCCCAAAGCGGCACATGTGGTTACTGGCCTCTGCTGACTCGTGTGCCGTAAGACTGTCTTAAGCATGTCTGAAGGACACCGCTGGTACAAAAGTTCGCGTCAGGGCTGCAACTTCTATTGTCTGATATGTGTGTAGCAACCGCTAGTGAAGCCTGAATACGCAACTTCATGTGAACAATCATGCTTATCCTGGAATCAATTAATCAAATCACCCAATTTTCAGACCCATTCTTCAACCATATTTATTCTGCACTGACAATCTTTAAACAATCTGTCCCGGTTCACGTGCGCGCGGTGCATAGTACTTTGGTCGTTTGGTGCAATGGATTGAGAAACGCCCTATTGTAACCGTTGAGTAACGTTTTACGCTGGACCTTTGCCGCCGTGGATTTTTGCGGTCAGCGCCGCCAGTTTTGCATAATTCTCCCAGGAATCTGAGCAACTGAAAAGTGCAACTTGCAGTGCCGACTGGTATAGGTGCGGCGGATGGCGGGCTGGGATGGGTCGAGTCTGAGATAGACATGAAGGTCGTCAACTTGTCCGGTCGGTTCCCATCGTCTGTGAAACTGGCCGTTGAAGTCGATACTGTGGGGTGATGTAATGTAGCGTTTGGGTAAACTTGGTCTGTCTTTGATTCTGAAACTGTTTGCATCTCTTTATTAAGAACTTCAGCAGCTTCTTCTGCGGTGTACGATCCTTTGATCTCTTTTGTAGTTTAAGAAATGTTTGGTTTTATTCAGTATTTTTTCTTTCTGAAAACTGCGTTTCTTTGAAATTAATTAAAATGTACTTTTCCTACATGAAATAATATTTCTCGCTAGTTTTTTTCCTCTGAACGGGATCTACATTTTTTAGAACATTATCACTTATTATTTTGAACTGGGTTAATTATAGTTTTCAAGTGATCCTTACTGAACATCTTCCCCGAAGGCCCCTGCAAAAGTGTCGTCTTCGAATTAGTTTGCACTCGCAGTCGCCAGCCCATGCTGCCGTCGATCCGAACAGGTTTACGAGGTCAGTGGTAGACAGTAGCCTTGGCGAGACTGAGTATTCCGCAGCTGTGGCGATGCTGGAGACCGGCCCGACTGGTATGAACGCAACTGTAGTTACAGCTGCTGCAAGCATGGAGCTCTATGGGATGCAGGATCTATGCATCAAATGTTGCTAGAGAAATAAAGAAGTATTGAAAGAAAATGAGATTAGTATATGTAAGTGCCTTTCCTGATGCCTTCCTACCTACCTGCTTCCTTTTCGCGATCGGCGCGACATCTGCAGAGTAGTGTCTTTGATCGTCGCTAGATGGCACTGCTGTTGTGTTCGCCAGCTGACCGATAGTGGTGGGGTGGTGGTCAAATTCGAAGTAGATATTCGAGGTGAGAACTATTTGAGTTGTTCGATCAGCTGTTTCGGTTTTTGGGACACGATATACGGCCTTGGGGACACGTATGACGTGGAAGAATGGCGGTCAGACCAGATTTTGTTGCTCTGTTCCGATGTGGCGAGTGAGGACACAAATCTTGGTAAGAAGATGTATCTTGAATGTAATATGCAGGTATTGATATGCCAAACTCGTTGAGCGCAATATGTTTTGTGTCTTTCGTGGTGGCTTGTGATAATTGCCATGCTGGTGAACATTTGTGTATTTTGAGACAAATGTAGCGCGGAGGTTTGATGGATATATTATGTTTATTTTTCTGTGTTTGACGACTGTTCTTGATTTAGTTGTTTATTTATTTGCTGGTGTTTTCGCAGATACCATTCATTCGGTCATTCATTGATTTCACCTGGCAACAATAAATTGCTGGACTGACTGGATGCGTGATCAGAGTTTCTTCGGATCGCTACACGGGGCGGATGCAGCAATAGTATCAAGATTTTGTATCAAGATCAAGAGCTGCATGGATTCAGGAGCTACATGGCGGAGGTTCGCTGTCAGCCATCAGTCTGCAAGCACGACCTGTCTACCTGCCGCCTGGAGGAGGTCACAGTGAGGACAGCAGATGCTGCTCAGCCCGCAGCAGCTGCCACAGTTGAGATGGGATAATCTGATTCTCTGGGCCTGCCTGCCTTTTTTATAAGCACATTGGCCAGTGGGAGACTCAAAGTTACTAGACATAGTACATGTCATTTTGTTGAGCTGGCTTGAGGTTAATGCTTGTGTATTTTAAGTCAGCTTGTGGTGCACTGCCTCAGAGATTTGTCTTATTGTTAATTGTCAAAGGATTTCAGCTTGTGGTGCACTGCCTCAGAGATTTGTCTTATTGTTAATTGTCAAAGGATTTCAGCTTGTGGTGCACTGCCTCAGAGATTTGTCTTATTGTTACTTGTCAAAGGACAGAGCTGGTTGTCAATTGTCTGATCTGCTCATTTGAACACATGATCTGCTCATTATGATGTTGTTCAGTGTTTGCCGTTTAACCCCACCTGTTTGACTGTTTTCTGTGGATGTGACCTGCCAGTTCCTTGGTCCCAACTGGTTGCTCTGGATCTCCCATCCCTGTACACTTACCTGATCTGGCACTCACACCTGACACCAGCAAGCTGGGATGGATGTAGAGAAGTTGCAGAAAGAAGAGCTGAAGGGTGAGCTTGCCAAAAGAGGAGAAGACGTGCAGGGAACCAAGGCGATTCTCAAGGAAAGGTTGCAGAAGGTTCTTCAGAAGGAACTGCTTGGGTCAGAAATGGAAGGTGGTGTGTCACACACTGAAGATGACAAGGCTGGCAGTCAGAAGGGCTCACCAGCACCGTCAAGAGCAGGCTCAAATGTGTCATCATCGGCAGCTGTAAAAGCAGAGAGAGCGATAGAACTGGCAAAACAAGCTGGATTGCTAGCAAAGAAAGAAGCACTGAAAAGGAAACATGAACTTGAGGCTCGTGAAGCTGAACTGAGGAGGCTGAAGGAGGAACTTGAAGTTGAAGCAGAAATAGAAGAGAGCAAGGCAAAGGAGGGTGTGTTGCTGCAATATGAAGAATCAGTCTTCAAGGGAGAAGACAAAATGAAGATGCTTCTCATGAAAGATGAAATCAGAACAGGACAGTTAGCTCAAGAAGAAGCTGCAGAGATAACAAGAAGTGCTGATGTTGCACAAGAGCCGACTGCACAAGATGCTACCACACAGCAAGCAAGATACCGAGAAGTTGCAAGAGAGCCGACTGCAGAAGATGCTACCATACAGCAAGCAAGATGCCGAGAAGTTGTAAGAGAGTTGGCTCAAGAAGATGGTACGATACAAAGAAGAAGGCTGGTTGATGTCAGAGAAAGAGAGCCCGTGATACCTCAAGAAGAGATCGCGGAAGGTCGAGTGACTGTGATGGGAGATGAGCACTCAAGACCACCAAGAATCAACCCTGACCTGCAGGTGCTGAAGAGGGTAAACCTACCAGAGCTCAAGCTGAGGACCTTCGATGGGAACATTGAGACCTTCAAGTCGTTCCTGCGAGCATTCAAGACCAACATCGCCTCCAAGCTCGATGACGAAGAAGAGAAGTTAATGTATCTGATGCAGTTCACAGCAGGCAAGCCAAAGGAGATCGTCTCAACATGCATTCATCTTCCACCAGAGTTGGGATATCAAGAGGCAGTGAGATTGTTGGAGCAGCGCTTCAGCAATGATGCACAGACGACTGAAGGACTCCTCAACCGCATCCTGTCGCAGGCCAGTATGCGATCTGATGACGTCAGCAGCCTGGATTCGTTCGCCATTCACCTGCGAGGGACACTCAACGCGTTGAGGAATCTGCCACATGGGACAGGCGTTGTAGATGCGAAGACAATGCGAGACATCATCGACAAGGTTCCCTTCTTGGCAGATAGATGGCGTCGTGAAGTCGATCACATCGAATGTGAAGAAAGGAGGAGACCAGACTTCACTGATCTTGTGGCGATGATTGAGAAGGAGGCAAGAATCGCTTCCAATCCCACCTATGGACGACATGTTCTGGCTTCAAGGACCACAAGACCTGCAAGAGAACCCCGATCTAAGCAAGTGAGCGCACCAGCTCTGACTGGGAAGGTAAGCATGGTGAGAACCCAACAAGACCTCTGTCTTTTCTGCCAGCAGGGTCATGAGACGGACCGATGTCCGAAGCTGGAAGTCAAGACGCATGATGAGAAGACCAAGTTCGTAAGAGCCAGTGGGCTGTGCTTCTCCTGCATGAAGAAGGGACATCTCGCGGCAGCATGTCGTCAGAGAAGCACGTGCGCAAAATGTAACCGAAGACACCCAACCGTGCTGCACCGACCTCCGAGAGACTCGGTTGCACCTGCCAGGTCTCCAGATCCCTCAGCTGATCAGCCTTCACCTCTGAGAAACCCACTTTCACCCGATGGTCCACCAGCAGCTACCGCCGGACACGCCGCTCCGAAACGAGAGAACGGGGGAAAGCTGCAAGTTGTTCCGGTGGTTGTCCTGATCAACGGAAGAAGACTGAAAACTGCAGCCTTCTTCGACACGGGCAGCACCCATTCGTTCATCACAGAGCAGCTCATCAGTGAAGCCGGCATGTCTCCTGACAGACAAACGTCCATGACGGTGTCTACCATAGTCAGCGACCAGAAGATGAGCACCAGCGTGGTGTCGGGTGTGACCATCGAGAACGAAGAGACGGGGACTCGACAGGAACTGCCGCCACTTTACACCCTCAACACAATCCCTGTAACGGAGGATGACATTCCCACAGTTGATGACGTTCGCAGATGGCCGTACCTGCTAGAGAGCGGGGTGACAGTCTCAGATGAGGCGTCTCTTCCAGTCGGGCTGCTCATCGGCGGCAACGCCGCAGTAGTGATGGAGCCGTTGAGGTTTGTGAAGGGGGAAGATGGCGGACCATACGCCACTCTAACCAGGTTCGGGTGGATCCTCGGCGGTCTGAAGAACGTGAGCAGCAGATGTCGGGTGAACCGCATCAAAGTCAACGAGAACGACCCAATGGCTGAAGAGTGGTTCGAAAACCGAGCTGAAGTAAGGAGAGGACTCTCGGTAGATGACGTGAAGTGGTGCACTCTCATGGAACACGGTTGTGTCAAGAAGGAGAAGTATGAGATTGTGCTGCCATTTCGAGACCAGGAGCCTCGTCTGGAGAACAACCGAAGTGTGGCAGAAAGGCGCCTGGAGCTGCTGAGAAAGAAGTTTGAAAGGGACAAAGAGTACGCAGAGGAATACACCACTCGGATGAACAAGCTCCTGGAAGATGGACACGCTGAAGCGGCACCAGAAGCTCGAGAAGACTCATGGAGATGGTACCTCCCCCACTTCGCGGTCAGGCATCCGACGAAGGAGACCCTCCGTGTTGTCTTCGATTGCGCGAGCAAATACCGTGGCACCAGCCTCAACGACACGCTGCTGCAGGGACCAGACCTAACCACACCGCTGGTGGACGTGCTGCTTCGCTTCCGTCAAAACCCTTGCGCCTTTACAGGTGACATTGAAGCAATGTTCCTGCAGGTCTCTGTTCCCGAGTCTCAGAGGGACTATCTGAGGTTCCTGTGGTGGCCCGAAGGTGTTCTCAGCAATCCTCCTTGTGAGTACAGGATGAAGGTTCACCTGTTCGGCGCAACATCTTCTCCGAGCTGTGCCAACTTCGCGCTCCATCGTACAGCTGCAGATAACGACTCCCTGTCAAGAGAAGCCAGTGAAACGATCCGGAACAACTTCTACGTAGACGATGTTCTGAAGTCCGTCAAGGATGAAGAGACAGCGATCAAGCTGATGAAGGACCTGAAGGCGATGTGCGCGCTGGGAGGCTTCAATCTGACGAAGTTTAACAGCAACAGCATCGAAGTCCTTCAGTCAGTACCTAAACAAGACAGAAGCAAGCAGGTTAAGGATCTGACGCTCGGATCTGATCCCCTACCTACGGAACGAGCTCTCGGCGTCGTTTGGGATCCAAACACGGACACCATCGGCTTCAACGTAGACATGCAGAAGCTGACGCAGAAGACAGCCACCAAACGAGGGTATCTGTCTGCAGCCGCGTCTTGCTATGATCCTCTCGGTCTGGCAGCCCCCTGTGTCGTCAGAGCGCGAGTGATCATTCAGAAGCTGCACCGTCTTGCGGTGGGATGGGACGACAAGGTGCCGGAGAGCCTGAGGAGAGAATGGGAGGGATGGTTGACTGACCTGCGCAACCTGTCCCTTCTGAAGATACCAAGGTGTCTGTCACCGTTGGGACTGGACGCGGCGCTTGATGCTGGGGACACGATTCAACTTCATCACTTCGCTGATGCCAGTTCGTCAGCGTACGGTGTCGTCTCGTACGTGCGCTGTGTTGGTGACCACTCCAGCTGCACGCTTCTTTTCAGCCGGGCTCGACTTGCGCCGATGAAGCAGCTCAGCGTGCCGCGTTTGGAGTTAGCGGCAGCGACGCTCGCCGTGAAGAGTAGCCTGGAACTGCAGAGAGCGCTGGAAGTGGACGCCGATATATATTTCTGGACGGACAGTACCACCGTCTTGAAATACATCAAGAACGAGAAGACGAGATTTCATGTGTTTGTCGCAAACCGCCTTGCGGTCATCCACGATGGTTCCACGGCCGGGCAGTGGCACTACGTGCCAAGTGAGTCAAATCCAGCCGACCTCGTATCGCGCGGAATGAACGCCTCCTCTCTGGTTCACAGCGATCTCTGGAGATTTGGACCCAGCTTCCTGAACGGGAAGGATCAGGAGTGGCCTGCAAACCCTGCCGAAGACGCTGTGAGCGAGGCCGATCCGGAGGTGAAGGCTGTTGTCATGACCACGACATGCAAAGATACCTCTCCTATCGAGAAGCTGACCCAGTACTACTCATCTTGGAGACGTCTGGTCAGAGCCGTGGCACTGCTCCGCCGGCTGGTGCTGCGGTGGAAAAAGAGCGCGCCTCAGGATGTGAAGACTACGGCGCGTCTGACTGTATCGGACCTGGAGGCGGCAGAGAGCTGCATCCTCAAAGACGTGCAAGCTAGACATTTCAGTCAGGAACTCTCCGACTTGAAGTCCGACAAGCCTGTGAGCACTTCGAGCTCTCTGGTGCGCTTGGACCCATGGCTGGAGGGAGACACGCTTCGAGTTGGTGGACGACTCAGGAACAGTGCTCTGCCATTTGACTCGAAGTTTCCCAAGATCCTTCCGGGACGAGACCCTGTAGTGGACCTGCTCATCACTGCAGCTCATCAAAACGCCGGACATGAAGGCAGGCAACACGTCCTGTCTGATCTGAGAGCGTCATACTGGATCGTGGGCGCCAACACCGCGGTGCGTCGCTGTCTCAACCGCTGCATCGGCTGCAAAAAGAGACAGAAGCAGACAGAGCATCAGAAGATGGCCGATCTTCCTGAAACGAGACTGGGCGTGGGCGACAGGGCTTTCACCCACACGGGAGTCGATTACTTCGGCCCTTTTTTCGTCAAGCAAGGTCGCTCACAGGTGAAGAAGTACGGCGTGGTATTTACGTGCTTGGCAATCCGCGCGGTTCACCTCGAAGTCGCTGATGATTTGTCCACAGATTCTTTTCTGTGTGCCCTGCGACGCTTTGTGGCGCGGCGCGGCGGCGTCCGATCCCTTCGATCGGATCAAGGGACGAACTTCATCGGAGCGGAAAAGGAATTAAAAGAAGAAGTCAACAAACTGAAGCAGCACGAAGGTGAAATCCACGAAGCAGCTTTCCGTCTCGGCATCGACTGGCGCTTCCATCCTCCCCACGCCTCTCACTTTGGCGGTGTTTGGGAGCGTCAGATACGCACCATCAGGAAGCTGCTCAACGCTCTGCTGACACAACAGACGTTCTCACTTCAGACTTTGCAGACACTCCTGTGCGAGGTGGAAGCGATCATCAATAACCGCCCGCTGACACCCGTATCAGCTGATGCGCATGACCAACCCCCACTAACTCCAAATCATCTCCTCCTCCTTCGCAGTGTCGTATTCCCTCCTTCAAGCACAGAGTGGGATCATCACAGGAGCTGGAAGCAGGCCGGCTACCTCGCCGATCTGTTTTGGCGTCGATGGAGGACGGAGTATCTCCCTCTGCTGCAAGAGCGGAGCGGACGCGCAACGAGAAGTCGAGACAACGTGAAGAAAGGAGACATCGTCCTGATGGTCGACGACTCTGTACCGCGTGGAGTGTGGCCGCTGGGCCGGGTCGAAGAGGCCATCGTGAGCGCTGACGGCCGAGTGCGCTCTGTCCGAGTTCGCGCACGCGGTACATCGTACTACAGACCGGTCACTAAAATCGTCAAGATCCTCGACGAGAGTAACCCAAGACGAGAGTGAAAGAAATTCGAAGGAACAAGACTGCAAGAGTTGAGAGTCAAGTTGTGACTCAAGAAGAGTTGCGTGTTACGAAGAAGTTTATTTGTTTTGATGCTCACTTGCAAGCATAAAAAAGGGGAGGGTGTAAGTGCCTTTCCTGATGCCTTCCTACCTACCTGCTTCCTTTTCGCGATCGGCGCGACATCTGCAGAGTAGTGTCTTTGATCGTCGCTAGATGGCACTGCTGTTGTGTTCGCCAGCTGACCGATAGTGGTGGGGTGGTGGTCAAATTCGAAGTAGATATTCGAGGTGAGAACTATTTGAGTTGTTCGATCAGCTGTTTCGGTTTTTGGGACACGATATACGGCCTTGGGGACACGTATGACGTGGAAGAATGGCGGTCAGACCAGATTTTGTTGCTCTGTTCCGATGTGGCGAGTGAGGACACAAATCTTGGTAAGAAGATGTATCTTGAATGTAATATGCAGGTATTGATATGCCAAACTCGTTGAGCGCAATATGTTTTGTGTCTTTCGTGGTGGCTTGTGATAATTGCCATGCTGGTGAACATTTGTGTATTTTGAGACAAATGTAGCGCGGAGGTTTGATGGATATATTATGTTTATTTTTCTGTGTTTGACGACTGTTCTTGATTTAGTTGTTTATTTATTTGCTGGTGTTTTCGCAGATACCATTCATTCGGTCATTCATTGATTTCACCTGGCAACAATAAATTGCTGGACTGACTGGATGCGTGATCAGAGTTTCTTCGGATCGCTACACGGGGCGGATGCAGCAATAGTATATAAATATGAAAATACATCAATGTCATAAAAACATAACTAAAATTGACGTTTCTCTAACGATAATTATAAAACTACATGAATAAAATACAAAAAAGAACTAAAAATTATAGTCTTAACGATCTCTATGGGCGCAAGTAAAGATCCCTGGACAACGCCATGCCGATACCATGGGTCGAAAGCATTGAAAATGTGTAAAATGTGAAACACAGTCAGTTATGCATATGATGTCACAAATTTGTGACTGAGCAGTGGATAACAGTAGAGCTTTGTATTTAGTGATGCGTAGGTATATACCATCATATATTTTATGGATTGCATGCAAGACTCATGCACTATGAACTGAAGATTGAAATTTAACAATGAGCACCTGAACATGAGCACTATGTAGTCATGCATGTGCGGTGGGTAAAAGTTAATAAATTTTTAGCGTATATAGTCTATATATGCAGATTCAGTGCAAAATGACTTGGCCAAATATAAACAACAAAGTGAGGAATACTAGTTAAACAGCTTTGCCGCTGAATATAAGCCCTGCGCAGCATTCGTGCAGCTTAGCTAAAAGAATCACATCACGCACAGCGTGACATCATCACAGAACGCGCGATTGCGTAACTGTGACATCGAAATATCCAGTGACTCGAACCCGTTTGACGGCACAACAATGAAGAACTGGTCTTGAGCTTCCATTTTGGGCTGGCGATATGATAGAATACTAAGGTTGTGACGAAAGCACGCCAATTTGCGCCACAACCCGTTTGGTAAGATTCGCAACTTGATCTCGACATCTTATCAACAGTACGTTTATAATTGTTTTGATAAGAATTGTTGGGCTAGCCATAGGCCTGGGTAAAATGACTCGGAATAATTGTTAGGAGACACCCAAAATCCTTTAGACTAATGCATAAAAAATGTTGTTGTTCATCCTCTGACGTTCGGTCAAACATCTAACCGTCTTTCGAGTCACTCTGGATCCTGGAAAGGCCAGGGTTTTTCCTTAGAAGCGGATGACGGGACCGGAATTATTGTCGAGAGTGCTCTGAGCTGACCCCAGTGACCAATGCTGTCGGAATCCTTTCGGTATGTGTGCTGTCGACCGATCAGAATAGCATCGGAATAATAGAATAGCATCATGCTCGATATGTTGATTGATAACAGAACGTGCATAGAAAATCGTCGAACGGAGCTGTGCAATGTGCAAGCTTATGGTGTGTTGTTGACATCTCGCTTTGAGGATATTTCTAGATGTTACTGATGCATTTTCTCTTTGACAGGTGGAATATCATGCATGTTGAGCATCGGTCTGCTCATGCTCATGAGCTTTTATAGTCAGAACAATGTTTCAGGTAGAACTTATTTTGTGGTCTGGACAATCATTTTAATTATTATTTTTATTATATAATTAATTACATTTTAATTACAATTAGTAACTACTTAATATGATGCAAAAATTAAACAACTCATTATCCGTGCTGCTTTCGGAAAGTAACTATGCCAGAAACGATTTATAAGAATTTCGATATTTGTACTCAAGAACAATATTTTTGTGCAATACGCATAGTTTTATAGGAGTTGTTGTATCGTCGTTATGCTTGCTTTTCTTGTTCTCATCATCTCACTGTTTTGAATATTGTGCTCAACATTCCTGGAAAAGTGGCACTCAACATAATAAGCCTAAATTAACTGTCTTCCTCTGTAAGCAATATAAATGTTTTCCGCAAGTTACGTTATAAGTAACATAAGAATAAGTCTTGGAATTCAGCGTGAAAACCTGACTTTCAAAGAATGAGATAAACCACCAACCACCTACAATCATTTTCAAATGTTCCGATTGTCGATCAGTCATGCAATCTAAAGAAACAGCGTCCAGCTAATTGAGCGGAATGAACGGCTGGTATATTTTTACTTAAAAACATCCGGGGATGCCTCAAAATGTCCGGGGAATCCCCAACTCGACAGTGGTATCCTATGAGTCACTCTTTTATAACGTTTCATTCAGGTCGCTCACTTACAAGGGCGTCGAACCACAAATCAACCTTAGAACATTCCATCCCCTCACCCTCTGAGTAACGTAGTTCAGCGTTCATTCTGATGACCTCGGGATGCTCGACTGCGGCCAGAGGCTTCCTCCCAGTCCTGACACGAACCTCGTGCCATATTGGGAGTACCGTGCCGGTGCAATCGGGACGTCCCATCTGCAGAACGGTACGGAGGCGGCGGCGGCGGTGGTGGCATTGGTGGCGCTGTTGAGCCTGGTTCTGTTCCTTAGTCTGTGGTGGTGGCCTGGGCCCCTGAGAGAGTGATGAATAGTCTTTGTGGGGTTGCGGGGACGTTGAATATCAGCGGTTGTTCTGACTCTTCACTGAAGGTGAAAAGGGAGGTGACTTCTGGATGAAGGTGAAGGAAAGTAAAAGGAAAAAGTAGAGGAAAAGTCTGGCCATGATGACGACGTGGTCGCATGATGCTGCCAGACACGTAGAAAGACAGCAATATGCGATAGCATTTTTTTTACACCTTCGCAATAAAAATGGCACGCTTCAACTTGTGAAGCATCTTGAATACTTTCATGTCAAACGCTCACTTCTGAAATCTGTTGGAATTCAGCAAAGGGTTAGTAACGTTGTCATGCATTTGCTGCTGTCATACCTGTCTCAATTTTGGCTCTGCAGTACAATTCCATATAAGCAAAACTCAAACGTCCAATTTTCTAATTCGATCGTTGGTCTATTCGCGGTTAGATCTTGTTCTTTACATCACACAGACTCCGAATTCGGCTGCCTCGTCCCTGTCTAAGAATCCTGCTGGAACCGGTGCTACCCCGCACGATCACACCACCCTGTCTAGCCTTGAAACCGGGACCTCACGGCGCGAATCTCAGCCCTCAGGTCCTGAGATTCGGCTCAACTCAGAGCACCAGCTCAGCGGCCCGACCGCCAGATTTACGCCGGTTTCGGAAGAGATTTCACAACCATGTCGAGATTGCTATCTGAGTCTCGTTAGGAAATGTTCGGGGCATGATGCACGGGACATGTGAACGTTTTGCGGCCGTTAGCATTCCTTTTTGTGGGCTTTGTCACCACGTGCTTCTTCTTATTGCGGCTGGGAAGACCGCGCTTCTGTGGCAGGCTCCGGTTGGTAAGGGCTGCGAGCGAGTGGCCCGAGTAAAAAGTTTACCTGCAGTGGTGAGCTCTATGCTGTTAGCTCATCCGTTAACGATTGCTTATGACTTGGTATTATCCTTCAATTATGTAGAGCATTCTGATAAATCTGCCAAGACTAAAATTCCAGACAGATGTGACTTTGATTACATAAACATAAGCTTGTTTTCTGTAATTAATTCGCATGTAATTCAAGGCTTTGCGCTAATTTGACAAAATGTAAATGGCTGGATAGTTCATGCGGTTTTTTATGGAAAATACCACAGAAAACTGAATGACCAACTGCGGCTGCCTCCCGGATGTCTCTTGAGCTGGAGCGGCCCACTCCATGTACTGGTTTAGGTAAGCCTTTACATACAAATGGAGGAAGCGACCCATTTCCATGGCACTGCAGGCAGTGTTTAATCAACGCATGGGCGCAAAGCTGGAATTTCGTTTCTGGTTTCAAGCGATGAGTTGTGACAAATTACATCGTCTGAATCGTGTCTAAATTAGTGCATGTCGGGTGATAAGAAGTAAGAACACACCTGATTTCTCATTTTTCATTTATTTCATTCGGGTAACACTTCCTACCTCTTTTAAGATCTAGAAACACCCGTTTGCCTTAGCTATTAAACACCGTAAATGCCAAACTCATGCAAATCAGTCATGCAAATCATCATACAAGTAAATGCTCTCAGCTGGAAATCGTTAAAACGAGAGCACAGAGGATCTGCAATGATAGCTGGTACATTACAATTTTTAGCAGTCTTTTGTTTAACGATACCAGCTCTGAAGATCACCGGATTCCGGAGGTAAATTCTCATGGTCATTGCGGCGTTCACAGCAATTTTGCCACGCTGATTAACAGATGTCGCAGATGGACCGTCTCACGAATATCCTGCCGCTCCAAGCAGCACTCGAGGTCATCTGTGATCAACCCGTACTGATTCATCATCATTGTTACAGCAGTTACATCTATAGACCCGCTGATCGTGCGGTGCTGGAGGATTTTCCCAAAGTTTTCTTTTTTGCGAAGTGCAAAGTCAGAGCACCTCGGCAGAATCAGTTTTGGAATGTCGCTAGGAAGTGCTTCTTTTGTTCTAGCCGATATGAGCACAAATGAGTCGTAAGACAGTGGCTCATCTGTTTCGCTCGTATTTTCTTTACCATCTAGAGGATACCGCCGAAATTCGTCCATTCTTCAGACCTGTCAGAGCAAATGCCGTTTTCTGGTGAAGCAAGAGGTGACTGATAGTTTTGTATGGGGACAAAGAAGCCCACCGTCCTAAACATTTTTAGCACTGGGCAGTGGGCCCTCCAAAGCCCGTTCTCAAGAAGACTCGAGCCTCAGAGAGCCGGTCTCAGAATGCCGGCCTCAGAGAGCCCCCCCCCCCTCCCCTTTGGCCAGACCGCCTGACCGCTAAGACCTGCGACCAGAATGCAAGCAGTAGCCTGCAGCCATGTTTAGGGATGCATGCCTAATACTCAATGGCCTACATCATGCCCGGGCACATAAATGGTATTTTGAAATATTTATTTTTATGTTTTGCTAATGCATAATGTATCAAGTAAAGTAGGCCATCGATGAAATAATTTCCTTCAGATATTTTCGAGATTCATTTCCTGAACAGCAACTACTATGCAGGTGGAATCGAATGTAAAATAGAAGGGAAGTTGGAGGACTACTGCGAGAGGAATATGAGAAATGATGCACAGCAAAGTTAAATCGGAGGAAAATGGCACTTAAATTGGATGTATCGAGTGATCAGTGAGCCTTGTAGCAGACCTGTCAGAGTTGCCACATGTTC